AATATATGTCTTCGCCCGCGGCGACGCCTACATTTTTTCAAAGATATTGATCAACCGAATATATTAGACTGGTTTTGATTACCAAAGAAATATATTAATATCAAGAATAACTTATCTTTGGTATGAAGATCGAATACGTTGATAAAGTTACATTTATTACCTTTAATAATTTATTACCCAATAACTTTTAAAAAAATGCAACAAGTAAGACTGGCAGGACATCCGCAGTATGATGCCTTTAGTCGACAGATGAGACAATTAAAAAAAAGTCTAATTAATAAAAGTCAATGCTCTAGAATTTCTAGAAGATTCCCTTTTTTCTTTAAAAAATACTGGTTTTATTGAACACTTCTTGCTATATGTTCTTCAACTTGTAAACCCATAATTTTATTTCTTAACGTTGTACTACCGTAAACTTCAAAGAGTATACTAAGGGAAAAACCGATCTAAATCATAAGAAAATGGAAAATATAGAAGGAAGTAATTTTGTAAAGTAACAAAGTATTCAAATATTTATTTATGGTTTTACGAACGTGTTTTTTATCTGTTCCGTAATTACGCGCCAAAATAATAATGGCCGCGCTACTCTATGATCAAAACAGCTGATGTTTACACAAAAATATATCGTTTAATTACAAAACGACCCAATTATATCAAAGGCCGTGTTTATTTCCTGAGAACACAATTGTACGGCACTTTTTATGTATAGTTTTCTTAATATACTGATAGAATCAAACAAACAAGAGGTTATTAAATTATTTCTGTTTTTTAATAGTATAAAGATGACTACGCCAAATAGTTGTTGTTGACATTCCCATGTACCGATGCGTTGTCTATTACATCAACAGAGATAACGCATATTTACCCTACCGATTCGTCCATTCCCTTGCCAAAACAACTTTTCTTAAATACAAAGTTACTTTTAATCTGTTCGACTCAGAAGGATAATGGTTTTTCGCGCCGCTACCTACTATGTTGTATTTAAATTTGTTTATCTACATGATCGATGCCAATATGACATTTTGCAGCGATACGGTTGGAACAATTTTAACGAGTGTAATCATTCGATTCGAATTCTTTCCCTAAATCCTTTCGAAAAGGGAGTGATGACTCATATGACAAGAGATAGATTAAATAACCTGAAGAACGAAAAGATAGGGAGATGTTGATGGTCAATGAATTTATTACCTATGACTTGTGTCCAAACGCAGTATGTGGCAGACCACAGATTATAAAACCAGTTGAATCATCGACAGAGATTTGCAACAGATTATATAAGAGAGATCGACACTTGAACCGCGTACGTTACGTGTCTGTTTATAATTATTGCTAGAACAGTTACTAGTGCATAACAATGGCGTAAAACATTAATAATTTATACATAACTTAAGTATTCAATTTACTAACATGATTACAGCGAACCAGTGTTTTAAAAACCTAGTCATTTTGGATAAACTCCAAGCTCTGATGAAGACGTCTTTGAATTAAAGATAGCAAAATAACCGTGAAATTTTCTTCACTTTATATTTAAATAAATGTTTATTTAAAAATTAAGTACCGAATCTATTTATTAAAACAAGCAATATTTTTCTACTAAAAATATCCAAAGCGTAGAATAACACTCAATCAGTCTATTCTATTCTATTTCTTGTTTATGGCTCTCCTACAGCGGATAGGCCAGTGTCAAGTGTTTGTGGTTTTATTCTAATTTGGGAGAAACTGGCAACAAAACTCTTATGGAGATGTTCATGGGTGTACAAGCGGTCTAAATATTTTAAACTATTGAATTATATAAACCTGTTGATCTACCTAAAAAAAGGACGGACACAAAACATTTATATATTGTTAGTTCAATTAGTCTATCCTTGTGCATCTAAGTGTACTAAATTGAAATAAAAAAAATTAAAAACATTTAATATTTATAATTATTCTTAAAAAAAGTTAAATATGTAACTATATTAATTAATTTTAACTAAAATGTATACATTCTAGATTAGAAGACAACTTCCTGACTTCCTTGCGGTTCGCCCCTGACCTACCGTCCTGACTGGCGACTTCTGACGTACTATGCGGTCACCGTAACGTGATATTGTATTGTTTACGCAAATGTCATAACAGTTGTAAAGTGGCATGTTATCTTTTTGTTAGTGAATGTAAACTTTACATTTTTTTTGTAAAATTTAAGATATCTGTGATTTTTACTCTTGAAATATATATTTATATAATCATATGTTTTGGAATAACTTAAAACTACTAAGCCGATTTAGAAAAAAATGACAAAAGTGGCAAACGAGCAAGCGGCCACCTGTATCCGCCGAAATGGGAAAGCGACCGCTGTCCATAAACATCCGCAGTTGCATATGCATTGCCTACTCTTAATCTACGGAAAAGGTGACGGGTATAAACAGGATATTTCCCCTTCCTATGCGTCTCCTTTGTTGCCATTCCTTTTCCTTCCCATCCTGTCCTCATAATAAAAGAATGGAATGGAAAAAGGACTTAATTTTAGTCCTTTTTCATAATGCCCCAATTTCATCGAAATTTCGTAGTAACAAACATCTGTCCTTTTCCCAATTGTAACGTTAGTATTACATGATTCGTTATAACGTTAATATTAAAATGAAGTCGTTTCATGTTTGATTTTTAAAAACATTAACATTTTTAATACAAAATTAAGACTTTTTTATACATAAATCTTTGTTGTGTGAAAACTTGACGTTGTAATAAGATTGAAACATTAATTAATTTATTGTTGTTCAAATATTAATTGCGTAGTAGATTAGCTTTGTTTTGATATTATTTGACATTGGGGATAATCGGGGGTTTTACTACGGAAGTGTATTTAATTGGTACATTACATTTATGATGTACTAGCTTGCGACTCCGTCCGCGAAAAAAAGACAAATACAAGCAGCCTATGTTCTTCCAGACTATCCTCTACATCTATACCAAATTTCATCGAAATCCGTTCAGCAGTTTAGGCTACAAACTCAAACAAACATCCATCTAAACTTTCGCATTTATAATATTAGTATGAAGTATGACAGTACAATTATAAGTACAGTCACGAAAAATCGCCGTGTACAAATTTAGAAAAATTGTTTTATCTGTGCTACTTGACTAGCTATTACCCCCGTAATGTCCGATCTTTTGTACAGACACATTTGAAAGCGTAGTCCTATTAATATCCCACGTTGTCTCAATGTGTACAAACTATAGCTTTTAAGTTGGAAAACCGCTAAATTATCTGATTGTACCCAAAGATACAAAATCGATCGAGATGATACTAAAGGTGACAATAGAACTAAAATCAAAGACAATTAAGAAATATCTAAACTAAACAGGCAAAACGGAACAACATTTTTTCACTGGTAACTTCTTTGTAACTACTGTAATATCTCAATTTGACATGCAGAGACGCTTCTCGGTATTTGAAGTAGTTTGTTATTGTTTGTCGATAATTTTGATTATAAGTCACCAGGGGGCGCTAGTGAGATTATATAAAAAATATTTCAAGTCCAGTATCAACTATGCTTCCTCTGTATATTCACGTGTTTATCAAAAAAAGGATTTATTTGTCAGTAAATAATTCTGCCAACATTAGCGACAAGGTCTTTTTTGTATAGGAAAATAGAATCCACATTGAGGCCGTCCTGAGGAAAATTAAACACAAACAGGAAGGGAAATTTATGCGATGTGTACGTGGTCAGGGTTTATAATCTAAAAATATATATGAACATATACTTGGTATATAAGATTTCATCTTTTTTTTAAACCAGAAGGGGGCAAACGGCGGGAATACAGAGGTGGTCAACGACGCCCTGACATCCGCAACACCAGAGGAACTACAGATGCGTTTGCAGCCCTTTGAGGAATTTGTAGGCTCGCTTCTTGAAACACCCTTAAAATAGATTTCTAGAACCCAATTTTATAATAATTTTTTTATACATCTAAAGGCGCCAATAGTCTAATAGTTAGGGGTACATATTTCCTATCACATGAGATTCGAACCCTAGGCGTTCGAATCTCGCCATTCCACTATTCTAATAAGTAAAACATATCCTAGCACAAGCCTGGATCATTTGGAAAGGTAAAATCAATTTTAGTCAATTAACAAAAATCTACTATAATAGCTAAAAGTATTGTTGTGGGTTCATACTTAAAAGTAATATAGCTTGATCATCGAAATGAGTAAATCTTAAAATTATACTGCGAGTAAAAGATAGGGATTATCTATTAGGAATCTAAATAAGATTTGTATAGTAATACCGGTCCTCTATTGCTCAGTGACTGTACTCTTTTGCAGTATGTATTCACGAGCGATTTTTTTACGTAATCATTACTTACTTTCACTATACCATTTTATTCTTATAAGAATGATAATGTTAAGATCTAATTTAAAAGTTTTATTACAAGATTATAACTATATGGCAATATACTTAGTTGTTCTGCAACAATTGTTTTATTTATAAGGTATAAATAGCGTATTGTGATCCACCAAAAATTTGGTTATTGGCCCCATTATGGCATTGAATTGCACAAAACATCAACTCATGCATAAACTTTTTGAGAGTTCACTTGTTTGCACACACACAAATTGTTCGAATCTGAATAAATGTCTAGATTTACAGATTTCACAATAGAACACAATAAAAATATATTTTACTATGTAGGTTTTAAATAGTTAAATACTTCATATTTGAACATATGCCATCTATTTTCGAGTTGCTTTGTAGTACTTATTTAATTATCACTACTCATCGCTAGATGTCACGTTAACCAATTTAAAATCTTTGTCCATAGCCCATAGACAACGCCGAAACGGAAGGACCAAACAAAATTAATTGTTCTAAACGATGTGGGACAATCGTAAAGTAATGACTACCGAATAGCTAATGTTTCTTTATGAAAACTATTAAAATCATTTCTTTTATTTAAACTTGAAATTTATCATGCAAGTACACGGCAACTCTATACGTTTCTATAGTTTATGGCGCAACCGCCGCATGACAGTTGTGTGTGAAACGATTTGGAATTATGAAGTAAAATATTTTATAAATTACTGTGTTTAAATGACAGCAGGAAAAGAAACAATGGGGTGAGTTTTATTTTGTATATCCTAATCTATAATAATAAATTATAACTAAATAAATATTTCAAGGGTAAAATATGAAAAAATCGTTTTCGCTGCACGGAGATATTTTTAGGGAGGGGAGATACACTACCAATGCGAAGCAGTATTTTTAAGCTTTCCAATAAACAATTTTACGTTTTCACTTTCATTAGTAATTTGGCGGTAAAAATATACTTCGAATTATATTTACGCTTCATTAGAACTTACCAGTATAAAGGTGGTACGGAGTAATTTACGCTTGTATGAGCTAAAGATTGTATCCGTTTGAACGGGTTTACCTCATCGTAAAGGTCGGCAAGGACCAATAGGTCGAAGACTGCTATTTATAAAATCGAGTATAATATTGCTTACGCTAACCACAAGATACTATACATTTTAATTATTTCCTATAGAAAACAACAAGAAAACTGAATTAATTATGTAGAAGTATTTTTATAAAACTTTGAATCGCATGTTACAAGGAGAACGTTAGTTATGAGTGTTGAAGGGTACACCGGTAGAGGTAGACCTAGAAAGAGATGGATGGATTGCGTGGAAGGTGACATGATCAAGAAGGGAGTGATGACTGAGATGACATATGATTAGAGGACAAAAACCTGTTGCGATCCTACGGGAGTAGGATAAGGAGAAAGATGATGATGATATCACCATGAAGTATTTTTATAAAACTCTTTATGATAATTAGGTAATATTCTGTATAATGTATAGGTTTTTATTATTTATTAAGTACTAGCTGTTCCCGTGCGGCTTCATCCGCATGAAATTATGAAAATTTTATTTTATTTACATTTGTCGAATTATCAATAGCAAATGTCATAATGACATGACATGACAAATCTTAGCAATCTTTCTTTCTTGATGTTGGCAGCAACTTATGGTCTCTTTGCCACATTAGGGTTTTAATCCAAAACATCTACTCCCTAAGTTTAATGGCGTGAAAATATATAGCCTAAAGTGTGACGTAAGTGTAGGGCTATTTATAAAAAAAAGAATTGTTCAAAAATATGCTATAATTGCTGACATCTTAGGCAACAAAGAAGTGTGTGTTTACGCTTTATTATAACAGTATAGATGATTCACAAAATTGTATAAATATGAAAAGTGAATATAAAATACTACATATTTGTCTTATCTGTGAAATTAAAGTTTTATGTTTAAAAGGCTTTTTTAAACCTATTTTAGTTATCATTCAATTAAATTGTTAAGTTAATGATACATTATAGTCTAAATCAATTTAGAATTGAAAGTAATGTCTATGGTCAATTTTAGTTATGATTTGTTTTAGGTATTTGGTCATTCAATAGTTCTATTTTAATCAGATGATAAACTTGTATTAGTTTTAGAGAATACAATTTAGATGCACAAATTTATTGAAACATAACAAATACATTATCATCACCAGCCCATACATTATCCCCATTGAAGGATTCGGAGCCTACGGAGTTAGGGGTGTCTATAACATCATAGAAAATTTTGCATACACAGTTCAACTATTCACTTAAAACTTTGCATCTTTAAAAAGCTTAAATAAGACAGTTTTATTTTCATCTATACTATTATAATAAAGCTGAAACACACACTTCTTTGTTGCCTAAGATGTCAGCAATAACAGCATATTTTTGAATAACTCTTTTTTATAATAAAAAGCCCTCCACTGATGTTATGCTTTAGGCTATAATTTTCCATTAAACTTAGAGGGTAAATATTTTGGATAAAACCACTAATGTGAGAAAGAGACCATAAGTTGCTGCCAACATCAAGAAAGAAAGATTGCTAAGGTTTGTTATGTCATTTAACATTTGCTATTGATAATTTGACAAATATAAACAATAAAATAAAATTTTCATAATTTCATGCGGATGAAGCCGCATGGGAACACCTAGTTTGAATTAAGTGTTGGAGTCTAATACTATTATAAGAGTACACAAAATCTGCCTTCGACAAAGTTGGTAGTGAAATGTGGAATTGCTTTTACTTAGCACCGCTTGTCTGAGTGGTTTTGGATTTGTGTATTGCACTGGAGTAGGCTATGTGAGCAGCTAATGCTGCGCACTTGCCCTGTAATCTATACATGTTACGACTCTATCTTAGAATTTGAACTCTATTGATTATAATTATGTCCAACGAATTGCAGATCGGAAAGCACAACACAGACATATTTTGCACCTCAATGCATATTTTAAAAAACACATATGCTCACATTCAGAGGCAAAGACAGGACTTGGTTTTGGCTAATTTCTTTTTTTCATTTTCTGTAACCTAACCATAATGTTTTTTTTTTCTCTAACAATGTTGTTTACCTATAACTGAATTTGTTATCATTCTTGTGTCATAACTTATTTCTTATGTAATTGTTCTATAACTTATCTGTTGGTGTACTTTATAAATTAGTATAAAAATAAATAAATTAAAAATGAATGTAAGTATATTTTAAAAGGCTTATTTCTAACATTATATTAATACAAGCTACTAAATTGAATTTATAGGTGCAGAATTTAAAAAAAAGTAATAAAAAAGTACAGTAATTTAGAAGTAGGTCCTGTAGTTTTTGAGTTTATAAGTTACATATAAAATATAAATCTTTCTTTTCTCTTCGTAATATTTGGGGTGAAGTGACAACTTTGTACTTTTTAAGGAAATTGTGTGAACAGTTGAACATGAAATTGAATACAAAGTTAAAGTGAAGAACTGCATAAAGTTATATTTAAATAAAAAAAGAAATTTCTTTGATTATAAATTGTTGCTTTTAAATCCGTCTGCGAGAAATTAATAAAATAATATGGCCTATGTTACTGATAATGTGGCTTTTTAACCGTGAAAGAATTTTGTAACCGTCCCAGTTATTTTTGAGGTTTCAATACTTTTTTTAATAATAGTATAGTTAATGAATTTATACCACACATTGACCTTTAGTTCTTAACTAAGTTTTACAGTTTGAAGTACTGTTATCAATACTATCATTAACCAAGTGAAATGTTTTTTTTTACTGTATATATTTTCTCGTTAATGACGTACGTTTGACCCTGACATTTACACTTAACACACATTCACCGACCACATTTACCTCGTTAACTGGTGTGTTTGTCCGTAAACTAAGTCTAATTAGTTTGGAAGTAATACTTTGTAATTAAAAAAAATGTGTGAAATTTTTGAATTTTGTTTTACAGTTTCATTTTTTTTTATAACATAAGGCGGCAAACGAGCAACCGGACACCTCAATCCGCCAAAATGGCGCGACCGCTGGCTATAGACATCCGTGATTGCAGATGCGTTGCCTACCCTTATCCGACGGAGGAGGAGACGCACATAAAGAGGATGTTTCCCCTGCTTATGCATATCCTCCACCGTCAAATCCACTTCCTCTTCCCATCCTCTTCTTATAAGAAAAGGGTGGTAAAGAAAAGGGACTACAATTAGGCCTCCGGCACCACACTCATGAGACGAAACACGGAATTGGTTCCATTTCACGCCTGTCTTCTGTGTGGTCGTGGTATTACACCGGGCGTGCCGGCCTATTGGTGCTAAGATGTTAAAGCGGGCACTCCCACTGTTCATGTTTTAGTAACAAGCATGTAGTCAAAGAAATTAATTCGCTTACCATTTATAATTGAATATACAACTGTCACTATACGAGGTTTAATTTAACAAGTTTTATTATAAAGTTGTTGATCTAATTGCAATGTCACAACCTTTGATAAACTACGCCGTAGTCTTGACTCCAAAATTTTATAAATAAAAAAATGGGACCAACATTACTTTTCGGATGAAAAGAAATTTTCAAAATCGGTCCAGCGGGGTCGAAAATATTTCGTAACACACAAACAACATACAGACGAAGTGATACTCTCCTTCTTATGGGAAGTAGGTTAAAAATTATACGTCTCCAAAAAATAGTGACTTGGGCGATGGACCGTTTAGTGAAAATTGGTTCTTACGAATCGAATAGGTAACCATTATTCAAAGACCCTGCAATCTATAGATGGGCAATTAAGAATCTTATTAACCTTGGTCCATAATATATTGGTTAAGAGGGTAGTTAAGGGACTGCGTCATCTTCGTAAATTTTATAGTAGGGTAGATATAAATTTGATCCCATGAGTATTGCTTAAATGTTAATAACAATTTAAACTGTGTATTTGTAGATGATTTATACTATTATTCGTAACTAGTTTTCGCCTGCGAACCCGTAGGAATTAAAAAATAATAATAGTGAGTAGCCTATGGGTTCTCTTAGACTATCCTCTACGTCAAATTACATCGAGATTCATTCAACCGTTTAAGCTACAATCTCTAACATTCGTCCACTTTCGCATTTATAATATTACTGTGATTAGCAAGATTAGTAAGAATAATATTAGTAAGATTTCTTATTCAATTTACTAAATAAATTTTTTAAAACTTTCGTGATACTTTCAAAAAAGGAATTAAAAATGTCCAACTCACGTTTAGCATTCCGGTTTTGGCATCGACTAATTTCGGAACCGTCGGTCCATCTTAAAGTAGAGTGTTTAATTCGTTAACTTTGCGGTCGCGGCGCGCCTCGTACGTAAATAACATTTTTAAGAACTACCCTCATTTTATTCCCTTCTTACAAAATTGCCACAACTTAATTTGCTCATAAAAACCATTCTTTACAAACATTGACGAGTCTATTGATAACGAGAGTCACTCGAAATTGTAAAGAAATATTACGTTTTTTAAATTTACAACTTTATAACTATGGTGTTAAAGTTGGTTTTGCGAAATTGTTTGGGACGTGATAAATCGATACAGCATCAAATGACACAGTTGTGAAACTGATAAAGGTGTCGATGACTTCGATATTGTGCATGTTTTGGCGAAATCGAAACTCAGTTACTTCGTACCATCAAAAAAAGGGCGGGAACACATGGCAGTAAATAGAGTTCTAGCTGGCGTCCTACTTACTGGCTAGTGACGGTTGCAATGTGTCCTCTGCCAGTAAAATGTTTACGAGATCGTACAAGTGTGGTAGAGCCTGCTTTAACATTTTCGCACGAATGGGTCGGTTTGCCCTTTGCAATACCTCGACCTCACAGAAGACAGGTGTGAAGTGGAAGAAAGTGGTGTAAAGGGGAAAGAATTTTAAATCGGCTTAGTAGTTTTTAAGTAATTTCAATACGAACAAAAATACAAATCTTTCCTCTTTATAATATTAGTATAGAAGAAGAAAGATTTGTATTATTTTACGTTTGTAATGTATAAACTTAAAAACTACTGCGACCATATCAAAAACTATTTCATCGTCAGAATGCTACAGTATCGTTATGTCGAACGTTGTCTAATTAAAAAAAAAATTCATGAGTTTAGTGGCCAGTTGTGATGGATATAATTTTTTTTTAAATAAAAAAACATGTCAAATATCTTGCGAACCGATGATGCGTGTTTCTAGTTCATTATTATTCAATACTTCATTATAGAGTTTTGAATTTCATATTCCAAGAAATGGGTCAAAGCTTACCTAGATACTAGACATTTGAGATGGCAAGTAGTGAACAAGTTTGCTCTTGTGGTCAACGTGCCAATTGAAGTTTTTTTTTTATAACATAAGGTTGGCAAACGAGCAAGCTGCCACCTGAATCCACCAAAATGGAAAGCGACAGCTGCCCATAAATATCCGCAATTGCAGATGCATTGCCTACCCTTATTTGACGGAGAAGGAGACGCACAAAAAGAGGTCATTTCCCCTTCCTATGCGTCTCCTCCACAGTCAAATCCACTTTTCCTTCCCATCCTTTGTAATATATCGGAATAGCTTAACTAAAAGTGTGTCTGGATGGAGCTTTTATTTGCAGGCAACTGATGCTCGATCTTGGGTTCGAATCCCGCCGTGGTACACGTGATTTTCGTGTTTTTAAGATACATGTGATTTTCGATTTTTTCGAATTTCATATGTACATTATTTACCCGACATTCTTACGGTGAAGAAAACATCGTGATGCATGCACATATCAGCAAAGAAATTCAAAAATATGTGTGAAGTAACCCGCAGTGCAGTGTGGTTGACTATGACCTAGTCAGCCCTTATTAGGGTAGACGAGCCCCTCGGTGGGGATATATAGCTGGTGATGATAATGCTAGTTAAAACATAGAGTAAAAGTAATTTTATACTCAAAAGTCCACTTAATTAAAATTAATTCAAATATATAAGTTGCTAGTGATTAATTTCCATGCTTCTCCGGATTATCATAGTGTTAGTGGGGTTTTCGATTATTTAACTAACTGTTTCTTATACAGGGTGATTCTTAACCGACGGATCCTAGCTAAATGAATTCCCATTCTTCGTCCGTTAAGGATCATCCTGTATATATATTTCTTTAAAATATATTTCGTATTGTAAAGGTGTAGTTAGTTTTTGGCTCACGTTCCTAACGTTATCTGTCTCAAACAGAGATCGTTGCCGCAACGCTGCATTACCAGATATACTTGCAATTTAGACTGCTTTTTACAGTTTTAGGTCGACTTTTTGACATGTGTTAAACTAACGTACTGAAACATTAAAATATGTAACGTCGCAAATGATATGACCACATTAAAACTTAAAACTCTTAGAAAAATTTAAGAAGCGCTTGGACATGGTGTTTAAAATTCGTCTCAATATTCGGCCGTTGAAATTTAATTATACTCATTTTAACAGTGATAGAGCCCGCTTTAACATCTTCGCAGGAATGGAAGTGGAAGCAATTCCGCTTTTCGTCTGATGAGTGTAGTGCCGGAGGCCTAATTTTAGTCCCTTTCCCTTTCCACCGTTTTCTTAATAGGAAAGGCTGGGAAGGAAAAGTGGATTTGACAGTTGAGGAGACGCATAGGAGGGGGAAATGTCCTCTTTATGTGCGTCTCCTCCGCAAATTAAGGGTAGGCAACGCATCTGCAATTACGGATGTTTATGTGTATTCATGTGGCCGTATGCTCGTTTGCCACCTTATATTATAAATTACCTTTCGGATAAACAAAGAATTATCAAAATCGGTCCACTAGCGGCGGAGTTATGCCGTAACACACATAAAAAAAAATAAAAAAAAATATCGACGAATTGAGTACCTCCTTCTTTTGGGAAGTCGGTCAAAAAAAAGAATTCATTATGACATTAGTTACCATTGTATTACTAGGTACAAAAACACATTGTCATCCAGAGATAAATGAGCACTCTAAGAAACAAAAGAACTGAAGATAATAAGTATGTTTGTAAACGGGTATTTCGACAGAATCCATGTTTTTTTTAATCAATTTCGCAAACAAGCAAGTGGCCTGAATTCTGCGTAATAACAACCCTCTTCATCTGTAATTGTAGATGCGTTGCTTACCTTTAACAAAGAAGACGCACAGAAAGAGCATATTAAACGTATTGGAAAGTCCATACCAATATAGTTAAGTAGAAAAGTTTTTAAAAGTCACTTTCAATGGTAGAGGAAGACAGAAAACAGTATGTATGTATTGTGTCAAAGAGGATATGCGTAAGAAGGGAGTGAATTCAGATATGACTGCTGATAGAAATGTATGGAGTATATTATATCGACCCTCCGTAGGGATAAGGAAATGTGATAACACAGTTGTTTTAATATAAACATGAGACAGGAGATCATCTTTCTCTCTCTAACTCTTAACTGTTAACCTGTCTTTTCAGCGAACAACCAATCTTCACGTGTAAAGCGCACGTGTTCCACATAGATCCGAAGACGAAAAGATCCTGGATGTCGGCCAGCTCTGCTGCAGTATCCGTCTCCTTCTTCTATGACTCCTCCAGGAATCTCTACCGCATCATCAGCGTTGAAGGCACAAAGGTAGATACTGCTATCTCTGTCGTACATATGTAATTAAGCGTTTTGAGATTGAGACAGCGATATCGATCGTTTATAAACAAATTTTTGAAGATGAGAAAGCTAATTTTAAATCCGTTTTTTAAGGCGCCGCCGCCTTTGACTAAACCAGGTCACAACTGATGTGGGATTGTCGATTGTTTCGCAGCCAATTCAACTGTTTAGTTGCACAACTAAAAATCGAGTAGTGTGCGCACCTCCACAAGCACATAGGAATCAAAGCGAGACTAGTCGTGCGATAGTTTAGTCAAATGTGTGCGCGTGCAAATCTTGAAGTAAAATTTAAAACCATTTGTTTAGAGATTTAATTGTTTCGTTTTTTATTCCAATGTTTTAAGTCTTTAGTTAGTTAATAACCAGTGTTTATAGTATTAGAATATTAAATAACGAGCTGTTGCCCGCGACTTCGTACGCGTGGTATTAGAAAACATACCAACTATATAAATTACAAAAAGCTAAGTATCCCTTGGGAACCGGACATTTCTCGGGGATGAAGCTTATCCCATGTGTACTCCAGACTTTGTTTTATATCTGTGCCAAATTTCAATAAGATATGTTGAACCGTTGCAGAATGATTGAGTAAAAATTAAAAAACTAAATTAATGAATCCCACGGGAACCGTAACTATTCCAGGGATAAAAAGTAGCCTATGTGTTCTTCCAGACTATGCTCTAAACCTGTGCCAAATTTCAGCCGTTTAGGCTACAAACGCTAACAAACATCCATCCATACATCTATCCATCCATCCATCAAAACTTTCGCATTTATAATATTAGTGAGATATGGATTTATTAGTCATATTTCAGAATTGTATAAAAAATGTCAAATCAGAAAAGGCTCTATTTGGTTGATGAAAGTCCTAAATTGTCTAAAACGTCAAGAAAAATATAAATCTAGTTTTCGTATGTAACAAATATAAATTCGGTACAAGTTAAGAAAATATATCGATCGTTGCACCCGACTGAAGTCACCTTGTCTGGCGATTTCACCTCGTGTCGAAACACCGCAATATCCAAGCTTTGTTATGTATTGGGTTTACAAATAACAAAGACATTGAATTTTTCTTTGAATTTATTAATAATATTCGATTGGACAATATTTTGCTTTAGTTTCAAGTCTCAGTACTAGTAATAGGCTATTTTTTTATTATTGGTAGCTAGCTATGTATTAATCATGAAAGAAAGGAATGTTTAAAATTATACTAGCTGTTCCCGTGCGACTTCATCCGCATAAAATTATGAAAATTTCATTTTATGGTTTACATTTGTCAAATTATCAATTACAAATGTCAAAATGACATGATGACATCTTGCTTCCTTGATGTTGGCAGCAACTATGGTCTCTTTCCCACATTAGGGTTTTTATCCAAAATATTTACCCCTTAAGTTTAATGGTGTTGAAATATATAGCCTAAAGCGTGACGTAAGTGTAGGGCTTTTTATTAAAAAAGGAATTATTAAAAAATATGCTGTAATTGCTGACATCTTAGGCAAGTGTGTGTTTACGTTTTATTATAATAGTATAAATTACTAAGTTTAAATACATCTATCTACAAAGATGTATCTTATGTCACTTACGATATTTAATTTTTTTATTCTTGTCGAAATACTTTGAATGTTAATAAGGACGTAAAGACAACAGACAAAATCTTTTAGGTTATGTTTATGTATCTTCCAGGCGGTGATAAACAGCACAATAACAGCTAACATGACGTTCACGAAGACATCTCAGAAGTTCGGCCAGTGGAGCGACGTGCGAGCTAACACCGTGTACGGGCTCGGCTTCGCTTCCGAGGCGGAGCTTGGAAAGGTATATTAAGTTTCTTTTGAAGCAACTGTTTCATATTGTCAACCCTCTTTTTCTTTTTGAAATGTAAAGATAATGTGTAGAAGCTCGATAACTCAAATACCCGGTAACTTAATAACCTCTTTAAGTTCAAAAAATAATATGTTCCCTTCCCATCAGAGCTCAAAACCTCTACAACATAGAGATAGATAACTTAAAACCTCTATACTTAAAATATTCTGTGTTTCCCTTGGACTTTAACTTATGGTTCTACTGTAGTACATTTTTGGAGGTTTTTGTTGAATCGTTGTAATTTTGTTTAAGTTTTTAAATTTCATTTGCAGTTTATAGAGAAGTTCCAAGAAGTAAAGGAGGCGATACAAGCGCAGCAGTGCGGCGGCAAGGCGGCCCCCAACG